TGTTTTTCAGGTAGTTGTTTACATTATATAATTTATTGTGTTCAGTATACGTCACTACAATGTGATTTCGGAAATATATAAATATACAGACAACAGGCTCTTCCGCGGCAATCCCTTGTCGTCAACGTTAAGGGAGCTCTATAGTATTCAATGAGAGGACCCTGCACGTCAATTCTCGGCGCGTCGAGAAGTGAAGCAGAGGGAGCCTGACCATGCGTCACACATTTGACGAGTTGGGAGTGAGAACGTGTTGCAAAGACAGCACAGTCAGCCAAACTTGCTATGCACCGTCTGTGTTCTTTGATTTTCTAATGCTGTTTGTGCTACGTTTTCCTCCTTTTGTATGGCACTATTGTCACGTTTCTATGGTTATGCGTTCCCTCTTTAAATTTCATGTCTTCTATTGTGTTACAACAACAAGTCAGAATAAACACACCATCTTCTGAGTTTTTCAGGGCTTAATCAGTATAAGTGCTAATAATTGTTACCTGAGCTCCATAATGCTTCTGAAACAGTCATTGTGTTTCCTTGAATGCTCTGTTTAGTGCCATGTGTTCTTAATTGCAAATAAGGGATTATGTTTCTCCTGCAGTTGCATTTTCAGTAATCCACTCAATGGTTTTTTCAAAAGCTCCCATAAAGGATCTGTAGTGGCTCCCCCATGAAAACTGAAACATCTCTAACAGGCAGCTAAGCCTGTTTCTATTGATCATACTTTTCTAGAATACCATGACTGTTTTTGTCTGTGTCTTGACCTTAAATCCTGTGAATTTATTAACATTTATGTAATCTTGGCCGTGGGATGACATCTCTGTTCTTTTTCCTTTAATTCTTCCTATAATTGAAATTCACAGAACAAATATTTTTGAGCCATAGTAACTTGCCTCCTTCTCCTTCAATATTCTTACTTGAGCTCTCTTTTCTACAATAGCTGCTTCTAAAGCCAACCTTTCAAGCTACTTCTATTAATAATTCTGCATAATTTTTTTTTCTTCAGACACATAATGTCTTACTTGCCTAGTGAGGTCTTCAAACTCCATGACAAAAGCAGGAAACCATTGTGCACATAATGGTTTACATCATTTGCATCTTACTGATATCACATCAAACTGTCAAGTTCTTTCTTACTGTACTAATAGTACTCATCTGGCTCCATTGGGCCTGTGCAGTTTAGTTTTTAGTCCAGGGCTTTCTCAGTTAACTTGCTTGCTTCTTTAGATTGCATGTTGTTGGTATTAATTACACATCTGTGCACATATCTTAACTGGCAATGAACAATAGATGTGCCTTCTGTAGACTGAAAGATGATTCCGATATTTTGTTTGGATTTCATTGCAATATTTTATATATTTCTTAAGAACAACAGAAGCAACACAACAATAATGATAAGCCTGCATACTGTTGATTCACTGAGTCAAATGACAAGCAAGCGGTTTGACTAAAGGAGCACAATCTGCTGGTGAGGGAGGGAATGGCAGCCCATGCATCAGAATTTGCAGCTATATTACCAAGAACCTGATAACACATCAAAGCATGCTTGACAGCCTCGGTATTTGCAGTAAAGTAAAAATATTTGCAACTATTCAAGCAGTTAAAAATTAAAAACATACTGACTGTAGTACCTCTGCGTGAACTGTAGCCATTTGTCTGTAGCAACATTTTTAGGAGATGCAAATTATTGTTCACAGAATGTATTGCCTGTTTTGTTTTGTTTTTTTGCTTCTGTGCTTCTCCTTTCAAGCTATCTGCATGTTGAATGGTGTGGCACTAAAAAAACTATCTGATCTAAAGTAGTATAAATTGTCCTATTTTGCAACGGTGCGCACTTAAGTGAGTCATTATTTTACGACACTGAATGTGCAGAAATTCGTTATCGCTGGCATTATGGTCGTTTGGCGATCAGGAGGGGATATAAAATAAAAATGGCCTTAGACATGGAAACTTTCTGCTCTTACTGGAGCACTGCCAGCACAATAATGATTACAATTGGCGTCAACGTCACTTTAAACTTGACACAACAATGCTTTCTATATGTCTGATATCTAATGGTCCTGCATTTTGTTTACCCGTTGATGGTCTGCATGTTTTTATGGAGCGTGTGTTTTGATATAATATTTTTGGAGAAAAAAGAAAAAAGAAAAAGAAGAAGAAGCTATTTCAAATGTGCAATAATTGTAAACTTTTTAGACATACAACATGAAACTATTTGGAGAAAAAAATGGGAGTTAAGAGTTAAACGGGTTAATTAGGTATAGAAGCATTTTGGGGGAGGTAACAAAAAATTAAAAAACAAAACAAAAACAACACAAAGTAAATAAATGTATAGCAGGGTTGCCCCTTAAAGACCTCCCTTCTGATCCTTCTATCAAATCAGAAACTGTCAGAAACTGTGTGTGACATCTCCCAGACTAAAACTATTACAGTCCTCCAGTGGTCTCGTTTTCGTCTGTGCGCTCAAACGACTTTGCACTGTTCAGACGAGCAGTTTATTGAGCCTATGGCACACTGGCCAGGGGACAAGAATGTACTGTGCGCCGATTGGCTCAGACACCTCGAATGATCTGCTCAGAGTTTGTACAGAAGGAGTGCGTGGATGAAATGGTGTGCGTATAGGGAAGGCAGAGGATGGGTTTTTGGGGATGATTGTTATATAAAAAGGACTTGAGCTCACTGAATCGATCTTTTAACGTGCCCGAAACCCGGGGAGGCTGGTTTAAAATTTGGATGCTGTGAGTAAATATTATCTTCATGTTTTGGCGTGCACAGCCAGCCGCCCGTTATCTGCCGCTATTATTTAATTATTTAATTAACGCTTTTTTCCATGGCGCTACAGTCATTTTTGTGTCTAGATTTTACACATTAACGTTGACTAGTTATTTTTTAACCTGTGCATTCATGTATAAAACGCACTTATGTCCTCAATATTGTTCAATTTCCTGTTTTTAAGTGAAAATGTGCGTCTAACAGTTAGATTGGCGTTTAATGCCGATAAAGACGAATGACGCAAAGTCAGTGGGTGAAAACCGACCTGCTTCAACTGTAGCTCCAATAGATGGTATTCGGATTTCTTCATGAATTATTAGTGAGTGATGTTGCACTCCTCTTTGTTTTTCTGTGCCACAGTCAACTTATTAAACTAAAGAAAGCAACAGTATACCAGTAACATCCACCCTATGAGTTTTCCTCCCTGAATCCGCCCTTTTTACATCCAGGTGTGAAACTTTGCGGCTGACTGACCCTCTAGAGTTCAGGTGAACAGAGACAGCGGTGAGGATGGGACGTGGAGGCCAGCAGACGGGGCCAGGAGAGCCTACCAGCGGGAAAGCTAAAGGTGTTTACACCTGGGAGGAGGTGCAAAGCCACTGCAGCAGGAATGATCAATGGCTGGTCATTGATCGAAAGGTTTACAACATCACTCAGTGGGCCAAAAGGCATCCAGGAGGGTTTCGAGTCATCGGCCACTATGCTGGAGAGGATGCCACGGTACGTTTTCATTAAAATGCAGTGAATATATACAGACCTGTGCTTTTTTTCATGTGATTTTATTTTGAAAGACATCAAATGACAAAGTAAATAGGTTTATCTTCGTTCATTTCACGATACATTACCTGATACTCCCCGTGACCCAGACCTGGAAGAACATTTGAAAGAGGATAAATGGATATACGAATGGTTGACACTTCAACTGTCACTTTTCAGTGGGAAAAAATCCAGAAGTCCAGATTTTAGAAGTTTAAAAAGCGGTTTCATCCTTTTTGCCAAACTTCTCTGCTCCTAATACTTCTTGATCTCTCAGCTCCTCAAAGCAACCTTCTACCGTTAAGCCGGATAAAAGAGCTCATGATTTTTTTTCTGTGGCAGCTCCAAAACACTGAAAGAGACATTCTACTGACATTTTTCAAGAAAACTCTTCAGAGCTGTCCTTTATTTAGTTATTTGTTTTTATCAATTATTTATTTATTTTTACTCTATTCTGACTTGACTTTTCTAGTATCTCAAATTGACAACAATTAATGAAATAATAAATAAATAGATTTTATTGCAACATTGGAAGGGTAAAGAGTATTTTATTAGTATTTTATTTTAGAGATAAAAACTCAGTGGTTTCTCAGCACTCCTCGCATATTGATAAGTTCCTTGCAATTGTGACAGAAAGGGCTTTCACACACGACCTAAATAACTGTTCAAGATCAAAAATATTAGAAACTCCAAAATACTGACACAAGTACAGAACTGATGCAGAAGCTTGTTTTTCATTTTATTCTGGACAATATTCATTTTTTGTCTCATTGTGTGAGGGTGGCCCCCATATTTGAAACCCCTTAACTATGACTGCACACAACTTTGCTACAGCAATGAATTGCTGCTTCAGTTTTCAGTTTTCAGTTTTATTTGTCATATGCAAGTTAGCACAGGGTCAACATTGCAATGAAATGTGTTTGACGAGCAGCAGTCACTCAGCAGCATGGTACAGTAGAAGAAAATATAATAAAATATAATAAAATAAAATAATAAAAAAATAGCAAAATAGTAAAGAGCAAAATATTAGCGAGACGTGGTAAAAGAGAAAAGATGACTAAATATATATGTATCTATAAATATAAATATATGTACACTAGTGATTAAATAAGAGAATCTTGAAAAGAAATATGACGGGAGGGCAGATGGGATATTGCACAGGAATGAGCAGCAGAAAATTACAGTATTGCACTTTTTAAATATAAATATCAATAACAATAAAGTGGAGTGACCAGTGCAGATTAAACAGAGTACTTGTGAAGCTGCAGGGTAGCTTCTGAGTGCGTCTTGTGGAGTGTGTGTGTTTAAGTGTTGTGGTTGAGGTGTCGTATGGCTTGGTGGTAAAAACTGTTTTTAAGTCTTGTAGTCCGAGCAGACAGACTCCTGTAACGTCTGCCAGATGGTAACACTGCTGCTTTAATGCTGTGGCATTACTATGAACAATTAAATCATGTGAGAATTTATCTTTAAACAGTTTTTTTTTAGGATCTGAAAACTTTTTTGTTTTTGATTACATTTCTTTCTTTTTCTTTTTTTTCTTTTTTTTCTTTTTGCTTGTTTCTTTGTTTTTTAGGAGGCATTCACTGCTTTCCATCCTGATCTTAAGTTTGTGCAAAAGTTTCTGAAGCCGCTGCTGATCGGAGAGTTAGCGGCAACAGAGCCAAGCCAGGACCGGGACAAAAATGTGAGCCTTTAATTAAAGTCCCTTATTTTTTATTGATAACATGTGAGTGATGTAGTGAAATAAATGTAAGTTAAAAAAATAGCAGATCTGTTTTGTTCATTATGAAGTGCTGAGTGTTGGGAGCATCTGAGATTCTAGATGGTCAGGTTTTGATACCTTGAACAAACAAACACTTTTACAAATGTAATATCAGTGCATCACCTTTTCAGCTTTTTAGAATTGTTTGTTTCTTCTTCTCTGCACCCAGGCAGCCCTCGTGCAGGATTTTGAAACTCTACGAGATCAGGTGGAGAAAAAGGGTCTGTTTCGAGCTTGGCCTTTGTTTTTCTTCCTCCACCTCAGTCACATCATTCTGCTAGAAGCCCTTGCATGGCTCATTGTTTCAATGTGGGGGACGGGCTGGATCCTGACCTTACTTTGCTCAGTTTTGCTGGCAACTGCTCAGGTAATTGAGACATGAACTTTTCAGACATAAACTTTAAATGGGTCCTAGTATGCATTTCCGCAAGTAACGCAGACAGAGACTAAACAACAGGGAAACACATGCAGGATAAACTAAAACTAAGGAAATTGAATATGAACTATAACTTTCATCTTGGCAAAAGATAGTTTGCAAAAAACTAAAAACACCTAAAGACAAAAGCATAAAGAAACCAACCAGGAAATGACTGCTATGTACAAAACTCAAAAGACTAAAAAAAAACAAAATTACAAGAATTTAAAAACAAAAGGAATAATCCAAAACTTCAGTGTCCATGACTCAGTGTATCCCCATCTGACACAAACTCAGCTGACCTAAGTGGGTGATGGAAGTCTCCAGGGATGAAAAACAAAAAGCAACAACACAAGGGCTCGGGGCTAGTAGAACTGGGTAGCTGTTCATTTGGCTGAAAGAGAGGGGCAGCATGGCTGAGGCTCAGATCTGTGGGATGGCATGGACCGACAGAGAAAATGAAGCAATTCAGGGCCCCGACAGAGGGATGAACACAGAGTTGTTCAGGGGGTGGGCACGGAGGCCTGTGACAGAGACTGGACCATTCCTGAGGCATGGCAGGAGATAATGGGACATCTCTGGTGGCTTGGCTCGTAACTGGCAGAGGACTGGATTCCTCAGGTGGCCAAGATCGGCTGAGTCCACCAGGGGCCAGAGGTGAAGGGTCAACGGACAGTTTGGACTCTACGTCCTCTGGCTCGGGCAGCTCAAGGTCCTCTAGATAAGGACACTTAGGTGGCATCTGGAGCTGCACTGTGGGGCAAAGCTTGGGTTTCAGACCCTCTAAGCGCTCAGTTTCAATTCCTGCTCTTGTCCAGTGATGGAACGTAGTCCTAAAATGACCACCTGCAGCACAGGCTCTGGCTGCATGTGGCCAGTATAACAGCTGTTCCTTCTTCTCTAGTCACAGGCTGGATGGCTGCAGCATGACTTTGGTCACCTGTCAGTCTTCAAAAAGTCCACCTGGAATCACCTGGTCCACAAGTTTGTCATTGGTCATTTAAAGGTAACCTCTCTCAGTTATATTCTTTTCATATAAATTAAACACAGGCATTAAAAGATCGATTTTCTCAGGGAGCTTCTGCCAACTGGTGGAATCACAGACATTTCCAGCATCACGCTAAACCCAACATCTTCACCAAGGACCCCGATATCAAAATGCTGAACGTCTTTGTGCTTGGCCAGACTCAACCTGTGGAGGCAAGCGGGACTAAACTAATATTTTTGATTTCTTCAAACATTCATACGGTCCAACTTCTTAACACCCCCTCTTTACCTCTGTGTTGCAGTACGGGATAAAGAAGATCAAAAACATGCCCTACAATCACCAACACCAGTACTTCTTTCTCGGTATGTTTTGTCCGAGAAGAATAAAAACTATAATTTCACAATGTTGCAATTTTAAAGTAAATCTTTTTGTATTTTTCTTTCAGTGGGACCACCGCTGCTCATTCCAGTTTATTTCTACATGCAGATAATGAAGACCATGATATCCCGGCGCGACTGGGTGGTAAGCTGTCAGGCTACAGATGGTTTAGTTTAGTTTCAATTAAATATTTAAGGATAAGGGCTAAAGAAAAAACATTAAAGTAAAAACAGAATAAGTTTAAAATAAGAATACGGTGAATTAAGATTATTTTTAAGCAGAAATGATCAGAATAAAATGAACTTTTTTGTCTTGTGAAGGATCTGGCGTGGTCCTTGTCGTACTACTTTCGTTTCTTCTCCTGTTACATCCCGCTGTATGGCGTGTTTGGCTCATTGGCACTCATGTTTTTTGTCAGGTAAATATTTATAAAACAAGTCAACCAATTTTTTTAATGCTCTTCCTAATACTACTGATATGTAAATAATTAACTCATGATTTGTTACCAATTAACAGACTGACTCAAACTGTAACACACACTGTGGTACTCTTTAGCGTCATGTTATAGCATCTTTTCAATCAAAAGTATTGTGTTGTTTTTAATGTTACAGGTTTTTGGAGAGTCACTGGTTTGTGTGGGTGACTCAGATGAATCACATACCGATGGACATCGATCATGAAAAGCACAGGGACTGGCTGACCATGCAGGTACCTGTACTACTTTTACCAGCAGGCACTGCTGACATTTGATGACTAAAACCATTCCCTTTATTATGTTTTTATTAACTCCTTCGTGGTCTTTTGACAGTTACAATCCACCTGTAATATTGAGCAGTCCTTCTTCAATGACTGGTTCAGTGGACACCTCAACTTTCAAATCGAGCACCAGTAAGTGAAATGAGTGCAGCAAATGCAGACAAATGTATGTTCAGCATGCTCTCACACTGCTAAGAGTTCAAAGTCGATTACTGATATTAAATAAGAAACAGTTGTTCTACAGATACAATACTGTTCAAATGTCTTGAGATAATTTATCAGAATTTCAGGAACAGGACTACACCTCATACATTCCCCTTCTCTGTCTATATATATGACCCGCCTGCACTACAAGCTGTTTGTTCTTGTTTTTTTGCCTCACACTGCCTCCCTTTTCCAATTTATTCACCTCTCTTTCGTACATGGGGGTTCGTCTGGTCCGGGAGTGGCTGGCACTCCCCTCTGAGTCCTCCCCCAAACCGCACCCTCCATTCATGCGTGCACCATCTGTTGTTACCATCTAGAAATACAGTTGAACCTAAATGATAATGTGGTTGCAGCTAGTGAATTTCCCTCCAATGAGCCAGACTTCCCTTTAATTTTTATAAAGGTTTTTGAGCAACACTTCTCCTTTGTCCCTGATCATTTTCAGAAGAATATTTTATTGTATTTTTTTATTTATTTATTTTTTAGAAAGAGGGGCAATACATATTAATGAACATTTTAACAAATGTAAATATGCCAGATTATAGC